GTCATGGACCGAGAGTCCAACAGCTGCATGAGAAAGGAAGGGACCCGGGGGGCGTCCCCTCCTCTCTCTGCCAGCGTCCATCAACCGAGATGGCCGCCGGCAATTAAGTCTGCATGATGTCATTACGCTCGTGCATGATGACAGCTCGCGCGTGCGTGATGACGTCCCAGCGGGTGACACCTGCAGGCCGCTCCAGGTGACACCCGGCCTAGGGATGCCTCTGTCTGTATGTCACAGGGGTGGATAAATTTAATATGGAATCCAGGAGCCAGTCTGTCCAATCAAGGAGCCAGTGGGATTTTTTTTTAGGAGCCAGCTTCATTGACACAACTAGGCAAACCCAAAAAGGTGCCGTCTGTCATTTTAAAGAGGCATTGACTACCTCTTCTTCTTCTAGCTCTAAGAATGATTGGTTTACATGTAAATTTACGTGTATATGCATGTACTTGCATTTACACCAGGGCTGGACAAATCCCCTGAGCCAGTTTTCCAATGCACTTTAAAAATGACACCTGTTGCCTATCTTTTGAATTTTTCTTTAGTTGTTGTCAATGGAGCTTGCTCCCACATAAAAACCTGCTGGCTCCTGGATTTGACAGATTGGCTCCTGAATACCATATTAATTCCACCCCTAGTTTACATGCACAGTCACATAAATTACTGCATTCAGACGCAATATTTCTAGCGATGCACCAATATATCGGCCGCCGAAACATATCGACAGAAAATGGCACTTTTGGCTAAATGCAGAAAGTGCCATTTTTGTGCCGATACATCGGCGCACCCCTGCTTTCTTTCCTCCTGGCTGGGCGCTGCTCTGTGTCCCAGCGGACAGTTATCCTGTATATTCTGGGATTCCTCTGCTGCGGTCACGGGAAGTGAAATAAAGCAATGTGTTTTAAAACAGAATTCAAATAATGATGAAGACCTGATACAGTCAGCTGTCAAAGTAACAGTCAGCTGTCAAAGTAGCAGAGAACAGACTTAAGATTTGGCTATCCATGCATGTGGAGGTATATGTATCTGTGGAAGCAGCATTCTATAATATAAAAACAATTTGTAATGTGATTCCAGGCTCTGCAAAAAGAAACCTGCACATTATGAAAAGCCTAAAGCTGATAACAGGCTGATAGCACTTCATGAAGTGCTGGTATTTAGAAGGCATGCATGCTAAAATAGTCTGAATTCCATAATGATTTGTCAGTAGGTAAATGTAGATTATCTTTTTATCATGTGCGTTTTGTTTTTTTCCAAACCTTGACCGTATGCAGTATTAGATATAACTGTGCCACACTACAGGTGTGGGCTGGGCACAGGATGGCATAAAAAAAAGTTATAGCTGCCCCTTTAAGAAAAAGTATTGGTAATTGGTATCGGCGAGTACTAAAAAAAAAGTATCGGTACTCGTACTCAGACCCAAAAAAGTGGTATCGGTGCATCCCTAATATATATATATATATATTAGGGATGCACCGATACCACTTTTTTGGGTCTGAGTACGAGTACCGATACTTTTTTTTTAGTACTCGCCGATACCAATATATATATATTATTATTATATATGTTATTGTTAAATACATGATGGAATGTATGCCTAGTAAGCCCTAGTATGTGTATGTATGCATGTGAGATAGGTACCTTAGATTGTAAGCTCCTTGGGGGCAGGGACTGATGTGAATGTGCAATATGTAAATTGCACATTCTGATGTCAGTGCTAAAAAAATACCAGTAATAATATGTCATTGTATGGCTTTGCCAATATTTTGGTAATAATTCTCTTGTTGGATCCCAGTACGATAAAAACTTTTTTTATCTGGGTCATTAAATAAGTTCAGGAACCCTTTACCTATTCTAGCCAAAAGAAATAGATTAATGGCCCATTCACACAGTAAAACGCAGTGTTAACCGCATGGCTAGTGTCTGCTGCAGTGATATCCGTGAGCCGTAGTCCCTTGCTTTGCTACCACGCAGCGAAGGTCTCCGCACACAACAGCAGTGTACTGTGCTGTGGTGCATTGACCTGCGTTGCCATCCAGTGTGCTGTGTAAAAAAGCACCACACCGCAGGTCATACCTGCATGGCAGTGTAAACGGGGCACATTGTTTTCTGTATGCCCCTTGCAGATACTGCTGAAAAACACAGCTCTCCACACAAGTGTGAATGGGCCCTTAGTTGTGACTTTCACTGTAGTGGAGGAGTGTAGACACCTATGCTTATCAAGTACTGGTTGGCACAATTGTTGACCTCTAGCTCCAATGAGTGCAGGAATGTCTATTCATTAATCAGATTTAGACAATACAACAGTTCATTTCAGAAGCGTAGAGAGTCCTTCTTTTACTGTCATCAAACACAAAATGTCATCATTTATTTCCAGGAGGAGTGCAGGTTTATCTATTAAAGTGATATTAAAGTCAAAAGGGTTTTAAGCGATTTCAAATGCTGATGAAATCACTTACAATGGATGCTGCTTCTTGATGTATAAAAGTTTTAGTTTTCTGTAGAATCAGATGGTCCCCTGAGCACTGGTCCTGACTTCCTGTTTTAAAGTGACTCCTTTCTCAAGCAGAGTGCTATGCAGTCACCCTTGTGTGTGCTAGTAAGCTATGTGTGTTTCCACAAACACACAGGAACAGCAAATCAAGCTACTTCCCTCCCCCTGGCCCCCTCTAACTCCTCCCTTCTCCAAGCTAGTAGACGAACAGTTGCTGGAGTTTGTTCTGTCCCTTGTGATCTTGTACTGGACAGGAAGTTCAGGGAAGCTAAGATGAGAGACTTAGAAGCAGCAGCTGTTTAGAAACATGATGATAGTACGTATTTGGGCAATAATTCTAGGGCCAGTACTTTGGGGTATCTCTAAATTGATGACCTGTGGGGGCTTTTAAAGCGTCTTCTGTGGACTTTTTGGGGTACTGCAGTTTTTCGCCGTTTCACGGACGCACGCAATTTGTAAACTGGGCATGTTGGGTATCGTTTTACTCGTTGTAACCTCATCTTTTATATTTCATTAAAAAAATGGGTATTTTGTTGTGTTTTGGGGCATTTAATTAAATTTTTCACTAAATATTGGGGTTTAATAAGGAGTTGCGCTAATATTGCGTAACAATTTGCAACTACCACCATTATATTGTAAAGGGTATTGGCATTCAGAAAATATATAATGTGTGGGGGTTTTAAGTAATTTTCAGGCCTAAAATGTGGAATATAACATGGGTGCAAAAAATGAAAAAAAAGGCCTCAGTCATTAAGGGGTTAAGAAACGGAAACACTCACAATTGCTTCGATAAATTCCCCCCACTGTGGTTAGAAACATAAGGGCTAGTGTTTATTTCAATGGGGTTACATCCGCGTGGCAATCGCAGAAAAAAGTTACATGTATCTTTTTTTGCCACACATGACGCTCGGGTGGATTTTTTAGTGTTCAGTTGCACGAGCGGAATTGCTGTGGGAAACCACGTGATCTGCCCGGCGCGACTGTAGTGCCATTAGAAAATAATGGCACCGGCAGCGCCATCGACTGTGACCGCACAGCAATCCACGCGGTATCATGCATGATTGTCGTGTGGTCAAGGATCGCCCAGGTGTGAACCTGGCCAAAAATTTAGGAACCTCAAGGGACAAGAAGGCGACTGTCTGATATTAACCCCTTTGTGACTGACGACGTACAGTGTACGTCGCCAGCATCAGGTCTGTTTAAACAGACTCCCGGCGGCGACTCTGTTTAAACTTGTAAAGCCGACTGTTGGCTTTACAATAGAAGCGATTCTGGGGACTCAGCTGTCGCCAGATCGCTTCTGGACGTACCTACGTTCGTCGATCCCCTCCCCGTTCTATGGGACCGGGAGCAATGCAGATTGCATCACTTCCGGTCCCTTGGCTGTCAGTTCTGGGCTCCTAAGGCCCAGCTATAAGCTATTAAAGTGCGATCTGCACTTCAATAGCTTATTTCTAGTGTAAAGGTGACACTTGGGGTCTTTTGGACCCCCAGCATCACCTTAAAGAGGACCTGTCACCACCATCTGCTATTACATGGGGGGGCTTCTAAGCCCCCCTATGTGATAGTAATCAAAGTAAACAAACAACATTTTTTTTTAAATAAATCTAAAAATAATGGAAAACTTTTTTTAAAGTCCCCCGCCCCCGCGAGCACGCACAACGCTGCGTAAACACGCATCGGGTGCGCCTACGTATGAAAGCGACGAACGCGCTACACATGTTGGTTATCGCCGCGCACGCCGGAGTGAGAGCATTAATTCTAGGGCATCTAAATTGATTACCTGTGGGGGCTTTTAAAGCGTCTATGGACTTTTTGGGGTACAGAAGTTTGTCGCCATTTCACGGACGCACACCATTTTTAACTTGGGCATCTATTTACTCGATGTAACCTCATCTTTAATATTGTATTTTAAAAATGGGTATTTTATTGTGTTTTGGGGCATTCAAGTACATTTTACACTAAGTTTTGGGGTTTGATAAGGAGTTGCACTAATATCGTGCAACATACAAGTTTGCAACTGCCAACCTTTTTTTTCTACAGGGTCTTGGCATTCAGAAAATATATAATGTTTGGAGGTTTTTAGTAATTTTCAGGCCTAAAATGTGGAATATAAAGTGGGTGCAAAAAATGGAAAAAAGGTCTGTCCTGAAGGGGTTAAACAGCAGGAGAGTGCAGAGCGCTCATGCAATCACCAGTTGTCAGCATGCCTGGACGAACTTGTCCTTACAGAGACTTTCACAAACCTAACTTTCCCAGCGATCTGCCTCTGCTCGATCACTCCACAAGGACACAATGACAGGATCGCTGACAACTGCAGGGACAACAGCCACCGACTCCTTACCTGGAGCAGGTCTGACATACCTGAGTTTGGGGAGTGGGTTATCTGAAGAATGATCAGGGCGTTTCCCTTACGCTCCCAGACATAGAGAACTACACAACAGCAACACTTACAAGACATCTAAATACACAGACAACAACCAGAAGTGACAACGATCTGCCTACTTACCTTCTCTACAGAGCCTGGCAGCAATCGGTTCATCAGCTTGCACAGCACCACCCCGTCTTTCAGGGAGCATTTTAGAAAGTCCTCTGGGTCACAAATGTTCTTCTTGGGGGAGTTGAGGACCCCCAGAGAGATGAGCCAGGTGACATTCTGCTCCTCCGGATTCATATCGGTGCTGGGCTGTACACGGTTAGCACTGTTGCTTCTTCTACAAGAGCCACATCCGCGATTACATCTGAGCTCTCCTTCCTTTTTCTAGTAACGTCCCCAACTGCTGCACCACCACACACACACTCACACACAACAGGAAGCTGATCATTATGTCAGGCTACAGTCCTCTGTGCTCACACAGACACATGGCTGCAACATCACGGGTGGCTTTCCAATCATTGCTATCACTTGTATCGGCTGATTGTTACATGATCGATTAGCAGTGACGGCTAGGAAGGGCTGGGCTCGTTATCAGATCATACAAATCGGTCATCTGGTGTTATAAGCGATCTGGAACTATATACAAGTATACATGTGTGAGCTAGAGAAGAGGAAGTGGCTCTACATGTTTTATAGGATGTCATTTACATTGTGTTTTCTGCTGCTAGATACAACGGATACAACTCAACTTTGCCCTTTCTTGAAGTTTATTTCAGTCAATCATACAAGAATGCACAGGAGTGTACATTATATATACACAAGTAAGCATGCACAGAAGTGTACATTATATATACACAAGTAAACATGCATAGGAGTGTACATTATGTAAACATGCATAGGAGTATACATTATATATACACAAGTAAACATGCATAGGCGTGTACATTATATATACACAAGTAAGCATGCATAGGAGTGTACATTATATATACACAAGTAAGCATGCATAGGAGTGTACATTATATATACAAGTAAGCATGCATAGGAGTGTACATTATATATACACAAGCATGCATAGGAGTGTACATTATATATACAAGTAAGCATGCATAGGAGTGTACATTATATATACAAGTAAGCATGCACAGGAGTGTACATTATATATACACAAGTAAGCATGCACAGAAGTGTACATTATATATACAAGTAAGCATGCACAGGAGTGTACATTATATATACACAAGTAAGCATGCACAGAAGTGTACATTATATATACAAGTAAGCATGCACAGGAGTGTACATTATATATACACAAGTAAGCATGCATAGGAGTGTACATTATATATACACAAGCATGCATAGGAGTGTACATTATATATACAAGTAAGCATGCATAGGAGTGTACATTATATATACAAGTAAGCATGCACAGAAGTGTACATTATATATACAAGTAAGCATGCACAGAAGTGCACATCATATTCATACAAATAAGCATGCATAGGAGTGCACATCATATACATACATGTAAGCATGCACAGGAGTGCACAGCATATACATACATGTAAGCATGCACTCCTGACCAATCACAAAGCAAACAGCCCAGGCTACATTTTGTGATTGTCTTACAGTTGTAGTAGGCACAGAAGTTCAGCACTGTGGCTCCTCCCACTGACCCCTATGTCACGACTGTGATGTAGGGGTTCGACAGGAGTAACCCCAGCACCCCGTGGGGACATTTTACACAGCCAAGTGGAATGCTGGACTCTATTCTCTGTGTTAAATGAAAGTTTTTTTTGTTGTTTTTTTTTTTATGACCAAAATGTTGACTTTCACTTTTCTGTTTTACGAATGATAGAAAGTCCCCTTGTTCTCCTGGCCTATCACAAAGCAAAGGGCCCCAGACTCCATTTTGGGATTGGGATGGAGATACGAGCTCATCACCTCCCTCTCTGACTATGAGACCTGCAGCACTACAGCCAGAGTGGGCATGGGAGTTCAGCGGGAGCAGGACTTCCATCCGCAAATATACTGATGATTTGCCGTAGGCGGGTGGCTTTACAGCACTCGTTCTGCAACTCACTGAACTGCCAAAGGATTACTGTGTGGGCTTAACCTCTAGATCTAGTACTGGGAAATGTTGGGTAGAGAGAAGGGCCCATGGTGGCACAGATAGGGTTGCCACCTTTTCTTCAAGCGAAACCCGAACACTAGTGACGCGTGGACATTTTTTGGGGAGAATGAATCGCAGCTTATTCATATGTAAATAGCGACACCCATTCATATGTAAATATCACAGTTGAGACTATTTTCAGTAGGGGGCCAGTAGCCCCTGTCTTAATTTTGGTTGTCCCTGTCTGCCTGACATCTTGTGTCCGGGTTTCTGCTGCCATGAAACCTGGACACAGCATTCAAAACCCGAACTGTCCGGGCGAATCCTGGACAGGTGGCAACCCTAGTGCACAGATGCCTTGGAATATGGGTTGTCACGGTAAATTGGTTTATAGTGCAGCTGTTTTTGGCATCAGAGCATTGACGCTAAATGTTTCTGCACATGAAAATTCATCATTATTAAATGATGTCATTTGATGTTATTGTACACACATAAATATTCTAGATGGCATAAAACAGACATCAATTTCACCCGTCAAGCCTAATCTCCAAGCGAAAGCTTACACCAAAACCCTGAAATGTAACCCCAATCTTCAAGATAAAGTCCATTCCTGGAAATAGAATACCATCTTGCAGCTATTTTATACTTACCTAATACTGCCACCTGTGCCCCTCGTTGGTGCCTCTGTAGCAGTCAGAAATGCTTGAACAGGAAATGGTTTGTTTCTCTCAGAGCAGAGAGAAGACATCCATTCTCCTAAGGACACTAGCAAGAAAACTGGGAGCAGGATGTGTTATGCTAGGGCATCTTTTCAGCTTTGCCCTGCCAATGTTCAATCTCCTGAAGGTGGCAGCATGACCCAAGGTTCCAGAATACAAGACTCTTTTCTCCAGTTAGGGGAATGTTAGACTCCCTGTCTGCTTTTTATTGTTGTCTGTGTGCCTGTTGCAGATTTTCCCTTACTTCCTGTAGGTGAAATGATTTCAATGGAACACAAAGTGAGGGAAAATCTCTCCAATAGAATGCCAGTAAGCAGTAAAACACGGCAAGGGTTCTAACTCTTAGCCCTCATTCACACAGGTAACGGCCAGCCGGTACAGCTCCATGCTGCGTGCACGGCCGTATCGGGCAGGACAGGTGCTGCGTGTGATTTGTACGCAGCAGCCTGCCCTTCTCTATGGGAGTATGCGGCCGTACGCCGCCCTACACTCACCCGACCTGCACATACGTGCGGGTGCCCGTACCCTACGCTGACAGGATGGATCCAGTTTGCGTCTGAGCAGGGACACCCGCACCCGTACAGGCGTGCAGGTCGGGTGAGCGTAGGGCGGCGTACAGCCGCATACTCCCATAGAGAAGGACAGGCTGCTGCGTACAAATCACACGCAGCACCTGTCTTTCCCGGGAGCTGCCCGATAAGACCGTGCACGCAGCACGGATCTGTACAGGCCAGCCGTTTCCTGTGTGAAGGAGGGCTTACCCACTCTGGACAAAGCTAGAAAAAAAGTTTGGCTGGACTCGCACTTTAAGAATTTAGAGGGGAAAAAAATCACAACTTTGACTAACAGTAACTGAGTCTTGTGAAGGCTGGTTGGATTTAATTGTATGGATAACTTAAATATAATTTAAAAATATGAATATTAATTTGATCAAGGATCTTTAGTGATAGAAGGGGTGTAACATTGCCACTTGCATTTTTATGCAGAGATCAGCAAAATCTGTCAGGCTGGATGCTTTGTTTATGCTTCTAGATGCTTAAAAGGACGCATGTGTACACACATATGTGTTTAGATGCATCTGTCCTTTGTCCATTTAAACCTGTCTATTGAAGCAGCCAATGAGATTTCAGCAAATAATCACATCTTACATTTACATGCATTTTGGTGTGTTTAGAAATTCAAATAAATTCCTGGACGCACCTAACTTCTATTTTTCTAAACGCAGCTAAACTGACTGCAGATAGAAGCAATTAAATGCAAGGTGTGAATAGATCCATTGGAAATCATTAGATTATATGCATTTAGAAAACCACCTAAATGCACCTAATTGCTCCCTAGTGTGATTGTAGCCTTAGTTTCTTAGAGCACTAAGGGATAAGAAATGAACACCTTTAGGGGTGTGGTGGTCAACTTGGAAATGATAGAGGGCCTCCCTCACAGCAGATGTTGGTCACCTTCTTATTTATAGCAGCTAAACAAAGAATTGTGAAGGCCAGGCAGAAGCCCAGGGTACTCATAATGTATGAACACACATATGATGAAAGAAACATTGACCAGACCAAGACACTCGTGAAAAGTTTCTCAAGATTTTAGAACCTTGGTTGACTTTTACATTCCCCTCCTTGAATTTGACTAGTCTGTTATTTTTAATTTAGTGGTCCATTGGGGGGTGTCGGACGCGTAGCGGTGCAGCCTGTTCCCTCTACTCTTCTGATCCTCTTTCCTCCCTATCTTCCCTTCCCCTCCCCTCATTTTTCTTTCTATCTTCCCCTTTCCTTGTTTCATTTGGTAGTGTTCTTGCCACTGGGGAGATGTGTGCAGTACACAGCTGGACACATTGGTTGTCTATTGTCCAACCCTTAACATCTCCTTCATCACACATGAACCTATAATACTGTAGTCCCCTTAGTTTGGCTACTTACCTTGATTATTTTGTGGCTGTCATTTATATTCTGTTGCCCCCGCAAGGGTTGGTTTGTTCGTTATTGTTATATTTATTTACGGTGAATGCAAATAAAAATATTGTAAAAGAAAATTATAGACGGCCTCAAAAGCGGTTCCTGGCACTTCCAGCGACACAAAAGCAGCACGTTTATCGTATGGCGTCGTATGTTGAGGTGCACTGTGTCAAGTTGGGGCCTCTGTCAACAGGCTTCGAATTGTTTGCTTCAAATTCATTTTACATTCTTATACAAATCTATTGGAATGCACATCCTGCTTGAAACAGTTCAAATGCACATGTCCGTGAATTTGCAGTGATCTCAGAAGCATCTCAAACTAGTGCCATTGACACAAACCCTTAGACAGCCCATGTATTGTGTACTGCAACACACACTGAAGAGAAAGTAAGAGTAAAATAAGTCCCATGATTGGTGTCTGTAATAGCTAGGGATGCACTGATACCGGTATTTCGGTACCAAGTACCAATATTTTTTTTTCCGGTACTCGCCGATACCGAATACGAG